GGGGGCGGGCCCTTTCCCCGGCGACGAGCTGACGGAGGTGGCGGGCATGCCGACGTCTTGCCTGTCGTACGACGGAGTGGTGGACAGAATTCGCGCCAGCCCTTGCCCTATCAGCTTGAGGTTTCGGTGAGAAACTTTCAGTTTTTCCTTGCTCCCCCTAACGGGCATTACATAGGTGTGTAATTGATGGCTCCCGGCACCTGTGAAAAGGGTATCAGACGCTGGAGAAATGGAACCCTCGATGAAGAGCATGCCCACGTTACCCCCGTGTTTTTTTTTTTTTTCTTGGCAGAAGAATTCTAAAAGGCAACCGCAATGAATGGTCCTCCACGAAGAGGTTGGGGCCATTGCACCCTTTGTGGAGTTGATCTCCACTCACCCCCCCCGGTAGATCCGTCCAAAATCAAGCACTTTCCTCTCCACGCCCGCCCCCCGTCTCTCTCTGTTAAGCCGAGCATTGTTCAAGAGCTGGTGGGGGCGAGAGTACACTTTGGACCTGTCATACTGGGACGGTCACCGCCTCGATGGTATCCTCCTGGTCGGCGGGGGGGCGGGAGATCAAGCGGTCGTGGGCTCTGTCGACGGTTTCAGGCCTAGGAAACGGCGACTGGTGAGAGTTTGGATTGTTGGGTTGCGGCTGTCGTCGTTGTCGACCATGGCGATAAGACTTCTTCACGCTAAGGCGGAAGCCTTTCTTCTGTTTTTGCCGTTGACCATGGCGATGAGATTTATTTACACCAAAGGGATGATTGTTTTTGTTGTGGCCGAAAACCAAGACGATGAGGTTCCTTTGCGCAGCAGTGGGGAAGTTCTCTTTTGTTGCGAGCCGTCAACCGTGGTTTGCACCAAAAGTGGATGGTTCCTTGAAGGCCGTGAAAACTGCATCACGTCTTATTTGAATGTAGACACTAAGCCAATGGTTTCGACCCCCCCCCCCCCCCCCCTCCGGGGCCCCCGGGGGTTTCCCACGCGGGTGGGGTTTTCGCCCTTTGCTACCCATTTGTAAAAAAAACCCATTTCCTTTGGGAAATCCGGAAACGGGGTACCCAATTTTTTTTTGCCTTTCTTTTTTTTGGGGGAACCCCGAAAGGGTGTCGAAGAAATTATTTTGTGGGGGGGGGGAAAACCCCCCTCCCCCCCAAAGGGAAAAATCCACGTTTTGGTAAAAT